GTCTGGATTTATTCCACAGACCACCACATAACACTGTGAAGATATAACATAGTTTAAACTTTTCTTCTTTTACTAAAAAGATAATAGAAGAATGGGTTATAGAGAAGCAATTCTTGCAGTCAAAGGAAGAGCTTGCAGAGAAGAGCCAACTAATATCAGGACAAAAAGATTAACTAACATTCCCTAATGTGAAAGAACTGATCAGTCAGAAGGCTGAAACCAGTCAGTACTTAAATGAAGAGTAGAGACAAAAATTTTATTAGTAAAAGAGACACTGTTAAGGCTTAAACTCTCTACATCCGTAAACTAATTGTACAGACATTTAAGACTATTCATGTTGTAATATCTGGTGTCAAATGTGAGGACAATATTAAACTATGTTCAAGTTGTTTGTAGATCATTTGGGCAAGTAAAGACAGAGATAAAACACACCTTTAAAACAAGATGAGTTACGCTATATCTTGTAGCTTTATTACAAATGATAACTTAGTTTTACTGAATTACTTTGATTTGCAGTATTTTTCTAAGAGTGTTTTCAACCCGCGTTTCTTTGATACTAATTAAGACTCAATTTTTCTTTGGTTTACCCTCCCTTCTTTAACGTTTCTTCAATTCTGGATTGCCAGCAGCCCAACTTTTAGCTATGCCTAATCGATCACACTTAGCAGATATTCTACAACATTCAATTCACTTTGTTCTTTGTGAGCAAAATGCACTGATACTTCTTTAAGGTCATAGTTAAGCAATGTCGCCAGAGGTAAAAACTAAAGATTTCAGCTCCATTCCACTTTTTCTTCAGTGTAAATCTAAAGCATGCTCTAGGCAATTTAAAAAGACCTACTGAGAGTAGACTGAGGTCCAGTGTCCTCACACAGCTACCTCCAAAACCAGTCCTCTATCAGCTGCTCAAGGGCAGCTTAGACTGCTTGGAGGCCAGGGAGCCCAGCATGGAACAATGGCAGGAAAATAGAGTTCCCTTCATTCCTTAATTCACATGCAAGTGAGGTGCCAATCAAGTGCTGACAAGCATGGAGAAACCAAAATCAAAAGTGGGTAAAGACATGCTTTCAAAAGGAGCTGTTTTCACACATTTCTAAGTGATGTTTTTAATGGTGGCTGTGAATATTCCACTAATAACATGGAAAAGGAAATAAAACTAATAAGAAAGACACTAATTTTATATCAGCTGAGAGGACTTAATAAACTAATGGAATATTATTTACTAAAATATTGAATGTTTCATGAAAAATATGAAGACTTGTTTTTGGCTAAGGGGTGAAATCTGAATGTAGACTGATTTATTGAGTGTTGCGAACAGGGAGGGTAAGGCGAGCTGAAATTGGTAACTGGGTACCGACAAGCACTGCCAGCTCATTTCCAAGTAAAGAAAAATTTTAAGGTTTCTTGATTTTTGCCAAACTGATCATGACCTGGAAAGACAAGAACAAAGTGCTCCAAAATGGATAACAATAAAGCAATGACATCATTTCATCAAAGTGGATGGAGACAAGACAATGACAAAGGTCAAAAACTGCACTGTTTTCTAATGATAGTTAATTTAGAAAAAAAGAAAATGATTCTGAGTTTTTAACAATGCAAAAGTAAAAGTGAGCTATATTATTTGTATAGACGCCTTTCTAAATGGATTTGATAAATGCATTCTAATTATGATTTCAAATTATATCAGGTAGAAAATAAAATTTCTAAGAGAAATTTTAGGCCTTAATTAACTTCGTAGATTGGTGATATTTTAAATGTACAGAAAAGATAACAGAGTAAACTATATCACTTTCAAAAATGCATTATCAATTCATAACATAAATAGTTCTTCCCTTTTGTCTTTCATGACTGCAAGAAAAAAATGTAAGATCTTATCAATATCTTTTTTGTTAGGAATACGAAAAGGTTAAAGAATGGGAAATTTGAATTGTTAGTGAATGGAAAGAGCAGGAACAGAGAAAATATATTTTTAGTATCATTTTTCCCTTTACTGTAGTGTAACGTACACTATTTTTATGAGGTTAAAGTTGGTCAGGTTCTAAGGTTACTATCATAAAAAGAATATTGCTTTTGAAAAGAAATCTGATAGTAATATATTCTTGGGAGAAATCTGACACTTTAAGATAGGATATAATCATAAATTTTGTTGTCAGTTCTCAAAAACAACAATTAGAAAAATATGAAAGTTTTACAAAATATTTATGCTCTAAATTTCAATGTAATTTATCTTCAGATATCAACTAGCAGCACATTTAATTTTAAACTACAATTTGTACAAAGTTTTAAATCAGTGATTAGCAAGAAACATTTAATTTTACGTCCTGATTGGTACCCTTATTTAAACAGTAAGTCCTGTAAGTAACTGCATTTATTGGTGAAACTGTACTTGCCACACAAATTACATGAAAATAAAATTTCTTGACATTCATGACCTCCAGAAGAATGTGAACTTGTATGATAATGGTTGAAGAACAATTTCCATGCATTTAAATATGATGCTACAGACTAATATCCTTCTGAGTGTGTGTGTGTGTGTGTGTGTGTGTGTGTGTGTGTGTGTGTGTACAGTTACTCAAACAAAGTAAATTTCAGGAAAATTTGAAAAATTTAAACATGTCTTCAATCTAAACATTTAATGTGTGTTGTACAAAATGCATTATTGAGATTAAAAACCTTAAGATATAACTCAAGTTTTGTATATTGTTTACCATTCACTTTCTTGTAAAGCTAATATTAAAGTTTGGAATTTATGTAAACAGCTTCATATATTACACCACATTTTAAAATCCCGAGAAAGAATATTTGTCAACATTTTAAAACCCCATGACCTTCCCCTGAAGAGTATCAGTGAGAATTTGAAAGACTATTACTTAGTTTAAGGCAAAAGCAAAAAGTTTGAGAATATTTCTGTTTGTATTTTCTTTAACAACATTATCTTTTAAAAAGCCCCATGAAGCTGAAATATAATGAATTAAAATATAATAAAATTTGTCCAAAATTGATGTAAAACTCATCAGTGTACAATGTCATTTGCTTAGAGGAATCTAATTTTGTAGGTGAATCAGTCTTTCTTCATTTGTCACCATCTGTATGCCCCCATTACATACCCTAATCGGTTATTTCACAAAATGTAGCAAATATATGAAGTTGGGATAATCACCACTAATGTTTTCAAGCCTAAACAAGGTATGTGACATTAAATAGACTTCTCAGCCCTGGTGTTGCCTGACAGATATGTGATGTGCCAGTGGTTATATTATACCCTTCCTCCCATGCATGTACCTCCTGCAGAGATAGCAGACTACAGAAGCTGACCCTTCCTGAGACCATCTTGTCTCTCTGACAAAGCTCCTTTTTAACTTCTTACTTACTGGTTACTTCCTGTGATGGAGAAAAACTTTAGCTCAGCTTGTGATAATTTCACAGGCCCTGAGGACCCTGACCCTAATAGCCTCAAGGTCAGAAGTCAAGTCTTGTTCTGAAACATCTGTGTGCTTTATATTAAAGTGGAACAAAAGTGGAGGAATATCCACCAGCGTGTGACAAGAAGGACAGGCAAAGCAGGACTGACACTCTGGTCATCTGTCAACCCTGGCATCTTAAGTTCATTTTCAAAACCATTGGAAATCTACTTAAATTGCAAAATTCATACACACAGGTTTTTATAAATTGTCTTAAAGTTTAAAAAAAAAGTAGAAGGAAGAAGAGAAAAGAAAAAGGCATTCATGTTTTATAGAAATCTGAAATTTGGTTAGTATTTCAGGCCCTCAGACATATTTTAAGTCACTGCACAATTCAAGAAAGCTCATGCTTTAAGTAATTTAGTGCCTTATAAGGACAACGCATGCTATCTAACCTACATGTGTATAGTTTCAAATCTGTAGGGTTGAAAGGAATTATATGAAAGACAACATTTATATTTTTAAAAGTATATCATACCAATCTGTTAAAGAGCTAGCTTCAGATATCTGTTGTATATATAAGATAAATACATTTAGTAAAGATTAAAGGGCTGAAAATAATCCTCCTAAACTGGAATCACTGTAAGAAATAAAAGATTTAATTTGTTTATTGATCTTAAAATAGCATAAGCATTTGTAGATTTTGGTCACCTAAAGTATTCTCAGGTGTCGGGTGTCAACATCAGCTTTACATCTAAATCATGTGAGAAGCAATAAGGTGTAGGGCAATTGAAAAGGCTCTGGAGATAAATTTAATTTGCATGACACACAAAAGTAAGTCTAGAAACATAAAAATTAGTCCATGTTGTGCTTGATATTAATGTCTACTGTCAGAGTAGGACTTAAAATTATCAAATGCACCTTTAGCAAACAAATCATTTTATTATAGCAATAATACTGTGCCATAAGAGGTTGTGGACACAGAGGCACAAATATGTCATTAGTATATTTTTAGAGTAGTTTATATCACATTAACCACACTAGCGCAAGTTTGTGCTGCTTGTAATACTGTATATAATACAGACAATATTGTAATTTTCTATAATGTACATATAATCTTAAATCTAACAGTTGGGTTATTTTAAAATGCAAATGCCCATAAATGCATTTTAGTTAGTGGTAAATTAATGGAACCTTTCTTATAGTTTTAATACTAATTTTATCAATTCTGATCAAGTACCAAGTAGTGAGTAGTTTTCACATAGTCAAATGGTCTCTTGAAATTTTACAGGTGGCATAAGCTTCAAGGGTATATACACAAAATAGCAACTATGAATCTGATATGTATAGAAATTGGGACAAAAATATAGAAAATTTGAAAATATAAATATGAAAAAGGCAAAAGATTTCTGGTTACCACTGAAAAGTTCTGCCATGCGAAAATAAATTAGTATATATTCTGTTCAAATATCACAAATTACTCAATTATTTTATTTCTATTCTTTACAAACAAAATAACAGGTATCAAGACAAAGAAAATAGAGAAGACACACCTGTTAAGAGACTGGAAATTAAAAAATGAATTAAATTTACACCTACCAGTTCAACAAAAGCAAGCCCTCCATAGCTGTGAGCAACAAAAAATACATTCTCAGCCACAGACTGGGCTATGAAATGGTCCCAAACATAGACTGCATGTTCTTCAGGAGACCCGTTTTCCTATAAAGAAAATAAATATCATGTATTACACACTTGTCTAATTGTTATCACAGTAATCAAGAATTCAATTATGTTTGTGGATATAGCATAAGAAATAAGATGATAATAGCTCATTCAAAATCATAATACAAAAGAACTGCACTGAAAATTTAAATTGGAGAATAAATTCATATTAAAAGTATTAATAAATTACTTCTATAATTTTGTGAAACAAATTATTTAAAATAAAAGCTTTTTCAAGGAAAAGAATGAAGATATTAAAATATATAGATGTGACACTAAATATATAGAAGTGCATTAGAATTGCACCTTGTGATAAAATAATGTAACAAAATCTAATTACATTCTTATATTTATATCTGAAGATATTTATATTATATACATATGTAAATGATTTGATTTATAATCTTTTAAGTGCCACTGTAAGCTGGAAGCAAGGACAAAATGAATAATGGATACTTTCTATTGAATTTATTAAAAATCTATATAATTTTTTTCCTAAAAGCATGTCCCATACATATTTCATTTCTAGAACTGGGAGAAACCTAAATATATAAACCTAGGGGCATTTACATTTTTCCTACTTTTCTAACTCCTAATAAACCTGTATGTGTGTGTGTGTGTGTGTGTCTGTGTGTTGTGTGAATGTGTGTGCAAATGTGTACTGTATGTGTGTGTATAACACAAAATCTCATAAGTTCAATCATGGCTTTATTTTGTCATATATCTACTGGTGTATGTAGTTAAAACAACTTTTCTAACCTAATAAACCTGTATGTGTGTGTGTGTGTGTGTGTCTGTGTGTTGTGTGAATGTGTGTGCAAATGTGTACTGTATGTGTGTGTATAACACAAAATCTCATAAGTTCAATCATGGCTTTATTTTGTCATATATCTACTGGTGTATGTAGTTAAAACAAAAATCAAGATAATGTGAAAACCAAAACAAAACCGATGAAACAAAAAGGCTAAATAATCTAACAAACTGCTTAGAATGCAACAGATGATGAAACTATTTGTGTAATTATTTCTTAGGAGCTTTGACACTCTAAAAGGCTAATTTCCTAAAACTGTCCTGGATATTACACAACCAACAAAACTGATGCCCATTTCTGTCCTAGAAACTTTACCAGAACCTATTCAGCTATAGCTCCTGAATGTCTATTGTGCCCAAGATTTTTCTCCACAGCCACAAAGGAAACTGTTTACTGGTCATTTCTCTCTGGATAGACTCATCATACTCAACCAATCCAACACTGTACTTAAATTTCCTCTCTAACCTGTTTCAAAGCCTATGGTCCTCATATCCAATTGTAATCAGAATGTTTTTTTCCACTTCTTCCCATTCTCAATTTCTCTTGCTTAGCTCAAGCCACCATCATTTTACAAGTGGCTGACTGCAAAACTCTTCACCCTAGTTTTCCTCCTTTTAGAATTGTCAATTTAAATGCTAATTCTGTAGACAGAACTTCTGTTTTCAAATCTTTTCTAAAGATGCAATATGGTCATGTCACTCAGCTGGACGATCACTTCTTGACACCTCCAAAGTGTTCTCACTGCGTTCAGGATGAAGTCCAAATTCCTTAGTAAGATGCTCCAGGCCCTTCAGGAACTGATATTCTTCACTCTCTCATTGCGTCTCACACCACTGTCCTGCAAAATCACCTTGACCCAAAAGACACCCTTGCCTCCTGAGAGACCACAGGGAACACTTGTTAGGGCACTCACAGTGACCATGTTTGCCACGCTGTCCTTGTCTCTGGGCCACGTGACTGGGAAGTGACCTGTGAGCTCTGCCCTCACTTCAAACCTGCCTACACCTGGGGAGCTGCTACCTGCTTTACGTGATCCGAAGAGCCATCACTCCTTTAGGAAGTCCACCCAGTCACCCCAGAGGCTAGCTATTCCCTAACATCGCAGGCATTTTTCCCATCACTATACCGAAGGTTCTATATCATAGCCACACATTAAATTCTCAAGTTCTTGAGGCCAAGAGCTTTGTCTTCTTGTTCATTAATCTTAGTGTAATAAATGCATAATAAAACTCCAGCATCAGCCGGGCATGGTGATGCACACCTGTAATCTCAGGACTCTAAGAGGCCGAGGCAGGAAGATGTCACGTTTGAGTCTCCACTGGGCAACTTAGTGAGTTGGAGAGACTGTTGTAAAATAAAAAAATAAAAAGGGCTGAGGACATAGCTCAGTGCAAAGGACGTGGGTCAATCCCCAGTCCTGAAAAAAAATTTTTACAAGAAATTAAAATTCCAACATTTAATTTCAGGTTGATTACCTACAACCTTGTAGTAATATAATAAAATATGAACATATTCTTAAGATGTATGTTAGTAATATGTTTGAAATTGCCTGTATTAATATGTGATGAATATAACAAAAATTCATATAGTAAAAATGAGGAATCAAGATATTATCTCATACAGGTACAAATCCCCTATGATAAATATGATCATTATGCATATCTAAATTGCACCAGTAAAATTAATAAAATATTAACAATAATTGGAAGGAAATTCTAGTAGTAATTTTAGGTTTTGACAATTGAGCTTTTGTTAGTTTCAAATGCTGGAAAATATATGAGAAAACCAAAATACAACTAAAAAGCAAAATAAAAGATAGGTAATAGTTAACTAGGGAGCTAGATCTTCATCCAACAAAAAGGGGATCAAGAAACAGAGAGGTGAGAGGGGAAGATGAGAAAAGCACTGAGATGTGTGAGGTGCATCTACCAATACCTGCAAAGAATGTGATCATCGTAGGCCGCAAACACCAACTAATAAGAAAATAAAAACCGAGAACAAATAAGGATAGCAGCTCCCTCTGAGGAAGATGGGCTGCTGGGACACGATGGAGGTAGTCACACCATGTGTTCTTTCCAGTTATTCTTTAAAACGTCACACACACTTAACACCTTTCTGTAGATGTACCTACAGTGACCAAGGAATATATTACATAAACTTGTGAGAATGAAGAGAGATCTCACCAGTAATTATACCGAGAGCACAGATTTGAACTGGGACTAAGGAAAGCCTGGCCACCCTACTTGTACCTTATAAGCCGAGTCCACTGCTGGGAAAACATTACAGTTTCAACTCCTGCCCAGTTCTATTTTCCCCACTGCCTGACATGTGCTGGTCCCACGAAAACTCCCCAACAAACTTCCTGCATGCAGATCTCCATTTCAAAATCTGTCGGTCATGACAGCCTCACCTAAAACACCATATCACCAGGTTTCCCAGGAAGCGGTTAACTGAAAGTCAAAATCTCATACAGAAATGAAAAAGGTTTTGTAAGAAATACATGAAAAGAACAGTTATTTACCCGTATTATTATCGGTACGTTTAAAACTACTCAAGACATTATTAGTTCAAGGTTACCTGCCAGCTCCACTGTCAGTCATGGCAGGTTACACTGAACCCTATATCATTTCTCTATATTTTTTTAATCTTCTTTCTTTAATTGCTCACTCACTTTTCCTTCTGTTTAGAATCTAAGTAACTTGAAGAAGACTTCCTTTTGGATTCAAAGTATAAAAAAACAAAGCATGCTATAAGCACTCAATAAGTGATTAGCAATGATTGGCATTATTGGCAATAATGAGGACAAATATTAAGTGCATTTCAAAAACCATGATGGAGTATTTAAATTCCATTTTATAAATTTAGTTTCTACTAATCTGGAATATGACAAAAAGACTGATGCTCAAAGATGTTCATCACTATCTCATTTACAGGAGCAAAAATCTGGATGAAGCATAAATACCAAATAATTTATTAAAATATGTAAATAATTTACAATTTATCTGTCTAAGGACATAGTATGCAGTTATTCAATAAGTGTAAAATGTAATATATGTACTTGATTTAATTTTACATGTAGTACAATTTTCACTAAGTAAAATACCTTAAAATGACTTTTTTGGCTATGTCTCTATTTCCTTCTCTCCCACCCTCTCTCTCTCTCTCCCCCTACAATGACATTTTAAAAGAAAAAACAAAACTATTCAAAGCAGCTATTCAGTCTACAGATGACAGCATTGTACCTCCCTGTTTTTGGCTTCTTTTCACTGTTATGAACTGCCCTAGATTTCTACAAAGTTCGTGCTTTTTGTACTAACAATGTAAACAAGAAAAAAATCAAAAATACCACTTAGTGCTTATTGGGGTAATCAGCATCTGAGCAGGAAAGAGCTCCTTACCTAAAAAATTCTAGGATCTCTTCTGAGCCCACTATGTGTTTACAAGCAGGACATGAGAGCAGCTGTTTCAAATAAGTTTAAGAGTAAGAAATGATAGCTAAAAAGCTTGACAGTAACTGATGAGCCAGAAAAATTACAAAATATCTGGAGACTACGTACAGTGCACTGGCCCGAGACTGCTAGCGCATTGCCACAGAGCAAGGGAAGGTGAGGTCGGTCTGCGTTCAAAGCACAACTGAAGGAACAACTGTGAACTGGTACTGTCGAAAAGACTTCACGATGCCGCGTGAATTCGTTAGTGGCATAAAAGTAAGAAACAGTTTTCTTCAAAATGTCATTTTATTTTATTTTATTTTTTTTGGGGGGTGGGATCAAACTCAGGTCCTTGCGCTTGCAAGGCAGGCCACCGAACCACTGAGCTAAATCCCCGGCCCTTCAAAATGTTATTTTAGAAAAATGAGGAATAAGGGAGATACAATGTAGCTATAAAAATTAGCAATTATATGTGTCGACTTTAAAAGTCCTTTTCAAAATTAAAGCTTTTTACTATTTATAGTGTCCCCGTCACTCTAGGACTAACAAATTCTGCCAAACAGTTGCAGCCTTCTTTAATTGGTAAGCACAGAAATTAATACACTTGGAATAGTTTAAAATAGATACTTCTAACTAGCATTATGAACTACAATCTCAACGTTATAAAAGAAGTGATGAGACACCAAAGCACGCGTGTGTCACTCCGACATGAGCCCACACTGTGTCCACAACCAATGCATATTCATAAACCATGA